AATTCGTGTGCTGGAAATACTGTTCCTCCGACCTTCGGGTCTGTTCGAATTTTTATAAATTTTTCCAGACCTATTTTCAAAATACTTCCTTCACAAAACTTGTTGGGGACATTTGTGACTATGACATATAGAAATTTCAAGGTTTTCTAAAGTAATTTGTGTACTGGATGAGAAGCATTTTTATGGTCAGGTGGCCTGACCGGACGGGTTGATTTTCATCTGATTTCAAGTGATAAAAAGAGGTGTTTACAGTTGGAACTGGATTTCGAGTTCTCACGGAAAATGTTTATCAAGATGTTTTACGCAACATATCCAAAATTTAGAATTTTTGGAATTCATTTACTATTTATTTTGATGGGATTTCGGTCACTGTGTAAACTGCCCAATTTTACCCCGATTCTTTGGATGTTCATTTTTATGAGTGAAATGGCGGGGGTGTCGAGGTTGAATGGTTGTTGCCCTCGTGACTGGAATTGATGCTTGAATTTGTGTTGTATGAATTAATTTGAGGATGAAATGAGGATGTTTCGGGGCTGGAGTGAGACTGATTAGGGTGCCGGACGTTGTGGATTGAAATGACGGACATATAGTCTGATTTGGAGACGATTTGTGTCGGTTTGAATGGGCTGTGATGTGGCTGTGTTGTGGTGCCCGTTATGACTTGAATTATGCGTGGAAATGTTGAATTTGTGCCTTTGAACGTGGCTGTGTTTGTGGGCCCATGAGTGGCCTTGTGTGTTTATTGTACCGAGATTTGATGGATTGAAATATGCTTGATTGTGTGCACGCTTGGGCCGAACTGAATGAATTGTCAAATAGGCCATATCGAATGCTTGGTGAGCATGAAAAATGTATGTGAATTGTTGTGTGCATGGGCTGCGTGTGATTGGTCAACTGAGTGGCAAGTGGTTGTTGAGCATGTGCATGAGCAAGAAAGTGAATGTGGTGTGGCATGTGCGATCGTGGGAATTGTGCCGTCCTGAGGCGTGTACTTCAACGCGGGTTGTGTAGTAGGTGGTAGATGTTGAGCTTGAAGCGTGTACTGTAACGCGGGCGAGAAACATGGCCTGAGGCGTGTATTGTAACGCGGGCCCTGAAGTGTTGTGAAAATCGGTCGCAGTGAACCTGAGGCGTGTACTGTAACGCGGGTCACTGGCGAGTGGTACGGAAAGGAATGTGATGAGGCAAGCAGAAATGCGTGAAACGTGAATTGAGCATGCGTGTGATTGCATATAGTGTGAATATGACTAACGTGCAGGGTGCAAGCAGGATAGGCCAGGTAAGCACAATTGATGTGCCTGTTATGTGATGATGGCGTGTGTGTGGTTGAGTCTTGTGATTGTCTGGAGGTACGTGATAGCCTAGGTGGGGTTTAGGGTGTGTGCTTATTGAGATGTGATCTTATGGTTGTTTCAATCAACAATTTCAGAATCCCGACCTGAGCGATGAACCTTCCGCCGCCGCCGCAGCGTTTTGCAATACCGTTGCACATCGACAATAACGTGGTAGAGTACCCGTTAGACGAGCAGGAGGCTCAGGAGGATTCAGACTCGAGTTCTGAGGAGTCGAATTTGGAGTGGACGCCATCTCGAGGGCGTAGGGGCTAGAGTAGGGATTGGGAGTAGGTCTTTTGAGGTGTACCATTTTTGGAAGTTAGGATATACAGGCTATCGATCCTTTTGATGTCGATGGTTAATAGTTATAAGTTCGGTGTGCTGGTGCATATGTATGGTGGTTATGTAAATTGTGAATATTGTATAAGTTTGGAAGAAAAATGAATATGTATCTTCTCCTTTGTTTACCCCAGTTTTTATTTGTCCGGGTATTAGTGGCTTTCGCTGATCGTTTTTAAATCTCTGATAAGTTTAATTGGGTCGGCGATACCCTGGGACATCGCATTAATCGACCAGAGAAGTGTGTCGCGTGCTCGATGGGGTTCGGGACGTGACAAACACCGACACAGAGTGCACTGTTTTCTTTTGCGCTCCAAAATTCTTTTGCCTGCCTTTCGGCTCACATGCTATGCTTTTCGGAAGCAACAAGCATTCGCATCAATTCCGTTAAGTTTCCAAGTTTTCAGACGCCGAAAATTTGCAAATTCATTAGGATGGGAAATGAAGTCGTAGTCAGTGAAAATAACTGCCTCGTAATGCGCACCAATCATTGAATTGCTCATTGCTCTTTCAAGCTTTATTCTGACATGACCTTATATTTGACCAACAAATCCTTTAGAACATAGAAAGACAATTGAAAAGGCATTCCTCACACGAGCTTCAAGCTAGAGCTGAAGCATACAAAAGAAATCCCCCCCAAGTTCCAATAATTATCACTCCAAATGATTTGAAAAGACAATTTAAGCACAAACACCGGGGTTTGCCAAGAGGTACTCTTCAACTGTCTTGAACAATCCCATAGCCCTATCTTTTCCCTGCTTGATATCATCTTCCTTAAGCTCCGCACCTTCCTGAACATGATAGTCGCTAGTCATCTTGCAGACACATCCACCATCAGCTGATGTCAACTTCACCTCATAGACAATGTAGTCAATTTTGTCGAACTTGATATCACTTTCAATCAAAGTATATTTGCAGTAAAAGTTCTCAACATCAAGAGCGTCAATCTTGTGCTTTGTGTACTTGATGTGAGCACCTGTTACATGAAATCACGTAAGTGAAAAGATTAATTTTTGAGTTGCGTGATCTATAAATGAACTTGACATGGCAGATAAACATCTATTATCCGACTTACTTTCGCCAAAGTTGGTCTGCTTAATACTGCCAACTCCACCATCTCCCTCAATGAACTCAACGCTCTTGATGCCACCGGGGACAATCTTGGGAATGATGTTGTGCGAGTCAAGGACCAAAGCCTTGAACATCCTCGATGGAGCGACCGCAGATGTGAACTCTTGAGAGTAAGTGATGACACCCATGTTTGCCTTGTAAGAAGCAAAGAGAAATGAACTCAAGTAGGAAATGGAAGGGATTGGAGTGATTGCAATAGAAGAAGCTTGAGCTGATGAAGATAGTGAAGGGAATTACATTATATTTATAGGCAAGTTGATAGCTCAGCAGTCCGTAATCATTCAAACTTCAAAGCACTCCGAGTTGGACCATTCGGCCTTGCTTTAAGCGTTTCTTCGTTTCTTATTGGGCCGAGCCACCGATCATCTAGAAGATGAAGAAGGAAGACTTAATTATTCAAGCACGTTGAAAATAAACCTTGTATTATAAGTTATTATGTTATAATATTCTTATGCCCAGTTTGTTATGTAGGAATCTAAAGATATATAGAATAATTAAACGTTTATAAAATTTGTAGATGATGAACAATGACACTGGTGAGCTTTCCAAAAGCATATATTAAGATATAGATCAGAAATGCGTAAGGTTTTAAATGTATATCAATTATTTTGACAGCATGAGTTCATAAATTTTTTTCTACGGCAATTGTGGAATTGTCTTTTTCTGGTTCTCACTAAAAGTGGTCTCAGGGGCCGGCAAGAGTAGTCACCAAAGCTGGGGAAACAGTCGGTACTAGCCGATGGGTAATGTTGCGATTCGAACCCCATTCCAACAGATCAAAGCCTCAAAAGAAGTACTTGTGGGATGATGGCCTGACCTACTTATATATATATCACTCAACATAATGTCGTCGGATCCAGTATGGGTTTAGTCTATCCTCAAGCCACACATCTATTAGAGGGCTCCTCCTCTAATACAATCCATAACGACTTGATCCGGTCCACATCTATCAAGCCCTTAAAAGAAGTAGTCGAAGTAATCGCACAAGATGTAGACCATTTGTGGCAAGTGTTAGCTTATATATCACTCAACAATGCATCTCTCATCAACAAAATATGTCACCAGTGGTCCTCCGCGATGAATGAATCCAATGGATCTTTTGACCGAGAAATAGTTTCCACCGGTTTCATTAACATTGGAAGGCTAGTAAAAGGAAACATTTTGAAGGATTATGGTTGCCGTAGTGTTTGAAAAGAGAGTATTTATAGTGTTAGAGGTGTTTGTTATTGTAGAGTTATCTACTTAACTTTGAGCAAAAGCAGCACCTTCTACAATCTGCAACCTCTTGAGATTACTAGTTTGTGGCTATTAGTCTGGAAGAGTAGATGTAAACAAAAGGTTAGAGTCAAACAACTATATATCTGTTTGCCCAATCTTCTATCTCTTAAACTTTGTTATTCACTATTTGATAGAAGTATTTGCATTTGCACAATTGTTTTCATTCTACGAAAGAATATATTCAAATCTTCCACGAAAAGGTTTTGATAGACCTATTGACCCCCTTTTTGTCTTTGTGAGTCAGTTTTATCAGTTCTATTTCGTTGAACGACATTTTTATGGACATGATTTTTTTTATGATCATATTAAGTAATTATTCTCATAAAATTTGACTTCTGTAGTCCAGCGAGAATAAATTCTCTAATGACAGTGACAGCGCTAACATTTACCACTTTATTTGGGTACTAATTTGAAACAAATCTAACTATTATGACTAAACCTGTTGAAGTGCCCACCTTTTTCCCCGTGCTTAATTAGCCGTGCTCTGTTCTTTTCAGATACCATTTCAAGCATTTAGTTCCTCTGATCATAAATGATTTTTCTCTAGTCTAGCCATTGGTTTTTACCATGCTTGCTGGTAAAAGTACGCACTAGACCACCATCTTTTCTTCATATCCATTTCATTTCATAATCTCAACCTTAAAAAAGTCAGAGGAAATTATGACCTCCGTGAATTTATGTCTCATTAGTCATAGCCAGAGAGTTATTGACAATGATGAATGGGAAATTTAGTATATTTGAAGCAGCTCACTTATAAGTCGAGCAATATTTAACCTTGTTACGACAAAGGGGTGCTCATCTTTAGGGGAAAATCCAAAGAAGTGCAATCCATTTGATGGATTGCTCATTTATCTTTCAAATTTTATTGTCACCAAACCCTTTAGAAACATAGAAATAGACATTCCACACAAAAGCTCCAATAGAGCAAGAGAAAGGACAAAGACAACATAATACAAATTTCCACCACTTAACTCACATCACTCGATAGAATTTTGGAAGGGCCATTTAAGCACAAACATCAGGATTTGCCAAAAGGTACTCCTCAACGGTCTTGTATAGCCCCATAGCCTTGTCCTTTCCCTGCTTGATATCATCTTCCTTGAGCTCCGTGCCGTCAATGGAATTGTACTCACTAGTCATCTTGCAAACACATCCGCCGTTGTCCGACGCAATGAATTTCACCTCGTAGACGACAAAGTTGATTTTTTCGAACTTGATATCACTTTCAATCAAAGTGTATTTGCAGTAGAAGTTCTCTGCATCAAGAGCATCGATCTTGTGCTTGGTGTACTTGATATGGGCACCTATTGCACAAATTCATGAAAGTAGATGGTTTAATTCTAAGTTCTACATACTATTGATGAACTTGACATGGTAAAGCTACGCAAGCGATCCCACTTACTTTCGCCGAAGTTAGTCTGCTTAATGCTGCCAACTCCACCATCTCCCTCAATGAACTCGACGCTCTTAATGCCCCCGGGGACAATCTTGGGAATAACGTTGTGCGACTCAAGGACCAAAGCCTTGAACATCCTCGATGGAGCAACAGCAGATGTGAACTCTTGAGAGTAGGTGATGACCCCCATTTTGCAATCAAAGAGAAATGAACTCGAGAAGGTAGTGGAAGGATATGGTGTGATTGCTATTGAAGTAGGCTTGAGCTGATGAAGATGATGAAGAGAAGCACTTGGTATTTATAGGCAAGTTAGTTGTTTAGCAGTCCATAAGCATTCAAAGTTCGAAGCACTCTAAATTGGACTGATCAGCCTTGCTTTAAGCCTTTCTTCCTTTCTCATTGGGGCAGAGCCACCAGTAATCTAGATGATTAAGGATAAGGACAAGCTCATTACAGAGCAAAAATGAAGGATTAGATTTCTTTTGTTCATGTCGTGTTCACCGAAATGGTGGGTGTAGTACAATCTAAATTGGTGATATAATCAGAGATATCAACTTCACATGTGCATAGAATCTCATAGAAATTATTTATTGTGCCGTCAATGTATGCCTCATTTGCAGGCTATTATATTTGAAATTTTAGACTTTACTCAATGCCTCAAAATGTATTGTATAAGTTTTTTCATCTAGAATTAGGACCAGTCCAAAGTGGAGTGCTACGAATAGATTGAACTTGAATTCTTTGTCAGCTAAAACAACTAAATCATTACACGCACTTTCCCGGAATCTATAAATACCCATCCGTTGTTGCTCAAGATCTCCACAGTAAACTCAACAGTCTTCTTCTACCGTCAAGCAAGTCTATTTCAAATTACTTCTTCATTTTCAGATCTTTACTCTCGGAAACAAACATGGGCGTCACTACCTTATCCAAAAATGCACAACCCCAATTGCTCCATCAATAATGTTCAAGGCTTTGATTTCTCAATTCCCACGATCTCATCCCAAAGATTGCCCCCCAGGGCATCAAGAGCATTGAGTTCATTGAAAGAGAAGGACGAGTTGGAAGCATCATGCAGACTAACTTTACTGAAGGTTCTTATTGTCCTTAATCAGTGATGCGCATACTCGTATTCATCCTCCTTATTGAATCGTATTGTAGTGATTCTAAGGGAAAGCACAATCCTAAACTTCGTCAAGGGAGAATTTATCACAAAATAAGTCACCAAATTGTGCTTAGAATCACTACAATAGGAATCAATAAGAAAGATGAATTCAAGTACGTGCACCATTGATTAAGGACGATAGATACCTTCGGCAAAGTTAGTCTGCTTGATGCTTCCAACTCCTCCATGTATTTCAATGAACTCAATGCTCTTGATGCTCTGAGGGGCCTTTGGGGATGAGCTTGAGTGAATCCAGAATCAAAGCCTCGAACATTCTTGACAAAAGCAATTGGGGTTGTGAATTCTTGGATAAAGGTAGTGACGCCCATGTTTAAAACACCTGTCCTTTTGATATAGCGCAGTCTATTGATGTTTTAAAAGTAATGTTTCGAACCTCTTTCTGCAGATAACATATAATTAGCTACTGCTGAAATTATAAGAAAATTCTTCATTTTTTCATCTACGAAGAAATTAAGTGGTAAGCTCCTGTTCGATTTGGAGACAGGAGATTCATGCCCCATACTAGAAACACATCAATAGGTTTACTTACCAGTTGGTCCTTACAGATATCGTAACTTAATTAAGTTCTATAAAACCTTATATATTTTTTTTTCCTTACCAAAAAAAAACTTTTGAGGAAACCTCTTTTCTGCACGTATATGTCAGAGGGATAGATTCCTCCCAAGTGTAAAATCCAATTACTCCTTTTTAATATATGGTATGCGAAAACTAGTTCAGGCTTCAGACACGATTGATATGACTGCAAGAAAAATGGCTACAGGCGACAAACAAAGTCGTCCTTAAAGACAGTTAGACCATCCCTAATGATCATCAGCAGCAAGTCCTTGCCCGTCAACTCTACTTGTGCCGCTACCGATAACTATGGATCGCCTATCCGTCCTTCAGCTCTTTAAAAAATCAACCCTAACCACATATTTGGATAGTGACAGTCAGTTGCACTTACATGATTTGTTTTAGCTGAATCTCAAATCAAATGACAATCGTTTCTTTATAAATATAATATGGGAATACAAGAAATCTTTCATGACTCAAGTATCGGTCTTGCAACTGCAGAGGAACGAGACAAACACCATAGCCAAAATATGTGAAGTACAATTCATTTGAAGCACAAAGAAAACGTTTTAAGCATAGACATTTGGCTTCGCCAAAAGGTATTCCTCGACAACTTTGTACAATCCCATTGCCTTGTCTTTGCCTTGTTTGATGTCCTCTTCTTTGAGCTCCGCACCTGCCTTAGTGTGGTACTCACTAGTCATCTTGCAGACACATCCGCCATCACTTGAAGTTCAAACTTTACCTCGTAAGGAAATAGACTCGATCTTGTCGAAAAGTACATCGCCCTCAATCAAAGTATACTTGCACACAAGGTTCTCAGCATCCATGGCATCAATCCTGTGCTTCAATTGCTTCAAATGACCACCTGAAATTTCAACTGCTTTAGTTAACACACTAATTGACATTCAATCAACAGCAAACATATTTTTATGTTTGGTACCAACTTTAATTCACATAAAGACTAACCTTCAGTGAAGCTGGTTTGCTTAATGCTTCGCTGGTTTGCTTAATGCTTCCCGCCCCGTCATCACCTTGGATGAACTCGATGCTCTTGATCCCTTGAGGAACAACCTTGGGCATAAGATTGTGCGAATCAAGAATCAAAGCCTTGAACATCCTAGATGGAGCAATTGGAGTTATGAGCTCCTGGGTGTAGCTAGTGACCACCATTTCTTTTCCTGATAAAATAGAAGAAACAGCAGTATGAAGGATTTGAAAGGATTATCAGTGATGCTCAGCTTAGTGCAGAAGCTTGAGTTCTTGTTGATGTCGAGAAGAGTATTCATCTGATGGGTATTTATAGATGAATGGCTTTATTGATTTTGCTACTCATCTCACACTATCAAGAGTTCATACTGAGAGCGCTCCAAAACCGACTCGTCAGAGGTTAGCCACCATCCTATACTTTTCTTCCTTTCCAAATAGTATATGGACCCACGATTGTGTAAATACAAATTTATGGAAATGGTTGAGAATCCTAAAATAGGTAAGAGGACCCATGAATTAGTTGCAACGCCCATCAATTTCGCTATCCGATAAATTTGACTAAAGTCATACAATGACACCTGCTTATTTAATTTGGATGGACCCCCACATCTATGGGATTGACTTCTGTGATTTTGTTAACCCTATTAGTAGTTTACACAATGACTGAGGATAGACTTTGACCTCTGTACGTGTTGATTTCTCCACTGGTAAAAAATTTGTCATTTTGGTGATTGAAAAAGACAAATTCAAATGTGAAGATTGTACTGGTCATCTAAAATTGACCTATTGATTTTGAAAGCAAATTTTTGTCACTCTTGTTGGTACTATTCAGAATTCATAGGAGCGCTCCACATTGGACTACAAGCAGCCACTTTCCAAACTCTTGTCGCTTTCTACACTGTACGGACCGTCATTAATCTAGAAGATCATGAAAAGTACTTGACTTACAAAAGAGGCAAAAAAGTCAAAGACGACCGACCTTTCAGTTCAAGTAGCTCTTGAACAGTAGTCGTCAAATTTGGAGGATATCCCATGAATGGGGTCAAGAGAGGATAATTATCTTTATTAAATTTTTGTCCCACCAGCCTTAAAAATGTGAGTGATTAATTTTAGATCATACACAATGAAAACATCATCGGTAGTTTAATCCTTTGACCGTGTAGTGGAGACTTTGGAATTCGTTGTTCAACCCTTCCAACTTTAAACTTGTCTCCAGGTTGAGTGGGAACCAAAGAAAAGCTCTTTTATGTAAAAAATCAACAAAATGATGCTAATCGACGATGTTGAGGTGCATCTAGTCTAGATGGGTACCAGTGCAATAAAATTATGCATCGAACAGTTGAATCATCGAGTAGTTGGTATATCTATTAGGCTTACAATTCATTGGCTTTACTTTCTAAATTGAAACTTGGTCCAATTAGGCATGTGGGGTTCAAATTTTGGTTCCCTTTTGACAATCTCTCGATAATAAATTATTGGATATTTCATGTTCATCCTAACAGGTTGCACCGGATCCAATAATTGATTGGATAATCCCCTAATTTATATTGCTCGTTATGTCAAGGAATGAATACCGCAAATCATCATGATTGCCAAGTGTGAATGGCAACTATCGATATTAGGTTTGGCAAACCAATTATTTATTAGGAAAAAAGTACTTCCTTTCCTATAATAATTAAGAGGCAGGAGCACAGAGATATGAATATATGAAGGCCTATGAAACATCCTGAAAGTCCCATGTAAATTTTTCACTAGTGGAAGTGGCTCTAACACAGAGCAATTTACTCACAATTGATAGAATTTGAACAGATGACCTACAATTTCGAGCTAAAAATCCTATGAGGTGCCAATCCTAACGGGTTAATAACAAATTGTAAAAAGAATTAGTCCAAACGTTATTACTTTAAAGAGGCTTAAACATCAAGTTCGAGTCAAAAAGGTCTACAAACAAATTAGCACTATCGCTCTTAGTACTAAAGATGCGAAATAATTGTCTCATGAAGCATTTTCTCGATGTCAAGAAACAATTTGAAGGAAGTGCTAACACACCATGTTATTCAGTGGATTAATTGTCAAAATATGTATTCAGCTTCTCTAAAATAGAGTGCCCTGTTTTTCTTATGCGCATGAAAATTCTTTTGTATGCTTTTCGGAAGCCACAAGCATTCGCATCAATGCCGTCAAATTTCTAAGTTTTCAAGCCCCAAAAATTTCAAATTCGAGGATGGGAAATGAAGTCATTGTCAGTGAAAATAACGGTTTGACGATGCATAAATTATTGAATTGCTCATTGCTCTTTCGGGTTTTATTCTGACATAACCTTATGCATAACCAACAGATCCTTTTGGACATAGAAAGACACTAGAATAACCATTGCTCTCGCAAAAGCTCCAAGCTAGAGCCAAAAAGAAACATATAAAAATAATTCACTCAAGTTCCAGTGATTATCACTCAAAGGATTTTTGAAAAGACAATTTAAGCGCAAACAGCGGGGTTTGCCAAGAGGTACTCTTCAACTGTCTTGAACAATCCTATAGCCCTGTCTTTACCCTGCTTGATGTCATCTTCCTTGAGCTCCGCACCTTCCTTAACATGATAGTCGCTACTCATTTTGCAGATGCAACCACCATCAGCAGATGTGAACTTCACCTCATAAACAATGATGTCAATTTTGTCGAACTTGATATCACTTTCAATCAAAGTATATTTGCAGTAAAAGTTCTCAACATCAAGAGCATCAATCTTGTGCTTCGTGTACTTGATGTGAGCACCTGTTACATGAATTCACAAAAGTAAAAAGATTAATTATGTATTCTGCAGTCTATAAATGAACTTAACATGGTATTTAAAGATCTATTATTCGACTTACTTTCGCCAAAGTTGGTCTGCTTAATACTGCCAACTCCACCATCTCCCTCAATAAACTGGACGCTCTTGATGCCCCCGGGAACAATCTTGGGAATGATGTTGTGAGAGTCAAGGACCAAAGCCTTGAACATCCTCGATGGAGCAACAGCAGATGTGAACTCTTGAGAGTAAGTGACAACACCCATGTTTGCCTTGTAAGAAGCAAAGAGAAATTAACTCAACTGGGAAATAGAAGGGATTGGAGTGATTGCTATGGAAGAAGCTTGAGCTGATGAAGATGGTGAAGAGAATTACTTTACATTTATAGGCAAGTTGATAGTTCAGCAGTCCATCATCATCCAAAGTTCAAAGCACTCCAAATTGGACCATTGTGACTTGCTTAAAGCGTTTCTGCATTTCCTATTGGGCGGAGCCACCGGTTATCTAGAAGATGAAGAAGGAAGACTTCATTTTTCAAACACGATGAAAATCAACCTTGTATTGTAAGTTAACCTGTTATAATCTTCTTATAAACTTGTTAATTTATAAGATGCCCAGTTTGTTATCTAGGAATCTAAAGGCATTCATCATCCTAACTACTACATTCTCAAGCAACAATTCTCGTGATTAAATAGGACTACCAACATTAGACTGTTGTACTACATGAAGTCCTTACATAATATTACCTGAGGCACTACTAGAATAGTAAAACTATTAAAGATTGTAAACGCTGAACAATGAAATTGGTCGACTTCCAAGTCATCACGTTCGAATATTAAGATACAGATCAGATATATCTTTTGAATTAAAAATAATAATACAACTATGCATGAATTCATAAATTTTTGTGTATTGCAATTTGTGGAATGGCCTTTTTTCTGGTTAACACCAAAAATGGTCTCGGGCGCCGGCAAGAGTCGTTGCTAGTCGGTAGTGGTCAGCTGGGTGATGGAGCGACTCAATCCCATTCATATGGGTCAAGTCCTAGAAGTACTTGTGTGATGATGGCCTCCTTATGTATCACTGAACATAGCCTTGTTGGATCCATAACGGGTTTAGTTTGTCCTCAAACCACACCTCTTATATCGACCATAACAACTTGAGCCGGTCCGCATGGGCCAAGCCTTTAAAGAAGTATTCTAAATAATCACATAAGTTGTCGACTATTTAATGTAGGTGTTAGCTTATATATCAATCAACAGGGCATCACTCATCGGATAATAGATTTGGAAAGTGACTAGAGATGTCTCGATGTCCGCATTATATTGCTCCAGCTACATATGGCACCAGAGGTCCTCCGCGAAAGGCAATATAGCTCAAAATAAGTGTGCATCAAGGATAGTTTTGGGCCACTTGGTCTTTCGGGATTCAAGGTTCATGAAGGGATAACCTTGGAGGTGTTGGGATAACTTTCTTTTAGGGCCATAGGAAATTTATGATAGCTTAAGCAACTGATGTATAAATAGAACAAATTCACGTACAATTTCAACTTAAGCAATGATAATCACAAAAGGAGATCTACGGGAGGGCAAAATCCAAGGTAATGCAACAATTGTCGAGTTGATCAATTGCTCTTTCAAGTTTTATTGCGACATGACCATACACAAAACCAACAAATCCAAAACCATTCCTCACACAAAAGCTCCAAGCTAGACTAGTTTTCTAATCAGACAAAAAACAAACCGTTTTCGAGTGCATAAAATTATAGTTTGTTAATGAGGTAGTGAATAATTTTTCCACTTCAAACTCCGTGTCTGTCATATTTGTCGGTGATAGCTACTTTTTTTTTTTGTCAATTAACGGTAATAGAAACAATATAAGAACCTTTGAGAGTAACTTAACCTAATGCTAAATGGTAATGCTTAAATACTAGCTGATATAAGATTATTAGATTTGTAGAGAATGAATTGAGCCGGTTTATCTCTACTATCATAGCTAGGTTCTTCTGGAAAATTCTTTGTTTGCCCCTATTATAATAGTACATAAAACGCAGAATATATGCATGTTAAATCATCCTAAAAGTTGGATGCAAAAGAAAATTGATAATTATGGAATGTCTTGACCGAACGAGCAAACAAAAGCTAAATCGCATATACTTAAGATTGTTCAACTCATATGTCGGTCACCCAGCCATATTTTAAATTAATCGTGAAGAGAGAGAGAGAGAAAGATAGAGAGAGAAGAAAAGAACACCGTTTTCTGGAGAACAATGGTGTTCCATCCATCTCGCTATCATATAGAATTTTCCGTACAACGGCGGTCAATGACAAGGATGGCTCATTTGAAGGCCTATTATTTCTAGAATTTTAGACTTTGGTCCATCTCATAAGTGTGATTATATAGGTTTTTCCATCTAGAAGTGGGGCCAGTCCAAAGAGGAGTGCTACGAATAGATTGAACTCGAATTCTTCGTCAGCGAAAACAACTAAACCATTACACACACATTTCCTAGAGTCTATAAATACCCATCAAGTTGTTGCTTAACATCTCCACAGCAAACTCAGCAGTCTTCTTCTTCCTTCAAGCCAATCTTTTTCACATTACTCCATTTTCAGATCTTCAGTCTCAAAACCAAACATGGACATCACTACCTTTACCCAAGAATTCACAGCCCCAATTGCCCCATCAAGAATGTTTAAGGCCTTGATTCTCGATTCCCACAATCTCATCCCCAAGATTGCCCCCCAGGGCATCAAGAGTATTGAGTTCATTGAAGGAGATGGAGGAGTTGGAAGCATCAAGCAGACTAACTTTGCCGATGGTAACTATCGTCCTTAATCCGTGATACGTATACTTGAATTTGTCGTTCTTGTTAATTCCTATTGTAGTGATTCTAAGCAAGAGCTTCAATTTATGCCAGGTGGTCACTTGAAGTGTTTGAAACATAAGATTGATACTCTCGACTGTGACAACCTAGTATGCAAGTACACCTTGATTGAAGGCGATGTGATCTTTGATAAAATTGAGTTCGTTGTCTACGAGGTCAAATTTGAGGCTTCAAGCAATGGTGGATGTGTCTGCAAGATGTCCAGTGAGTATCACGCAAAGGCTGGTGTGGAGCTTAAGGAAGAGGACATCAAACAAGGCAAAGAAAAGGCTATGGGGTTGTACAAGGTCGTCGAGGAGTACCTTTCTGCCAATCCCGATGCTTATGCTTGATGTGCATTCTAATTAGACCTTTTGTTTTCTAGAAAACATTGTGTGAGGATTTTTCAGTAATCTTTTCTTTCGGGGCATGATGTATTGGATTTGCTTTGGGAGATCTAAGTCCATCAGTTTCGCACATTGAAATAAATGGATTACTTTGAGAAATGATAATAAAGTTTTATGTTACTATTTTTCTATTTGAATTCACTTACAAAAGTGAAGCTTAGGGGCGATCTTCTCACACGGATTTGTAAGAATGATTGTCATCTCAGGATCATGACTACCGGTGCTCAAGCTTATCAACTCTCAAGTTCAACTTATGCTCATCAACTCTCAAGTTCAACTTATGCTCATACGGCCTTGGCCATTCTCGATTTGATAGTCAGTGGGAGAGTGATAGTAAGAACCTTCGAATCAAGAATAAATAATACAGCTTATTATAAAATTTTCTCGACATTTGTATATGCTATAACTGCTCTTAATTACTCTGAAGACAACCTATTTTCCTATCTAACATAGAGAAATAAAATTCAAAAGAAATGGTAATATGTGAGAAATCAAAAGAAGGTGAACATATGTGAAAATAGTGAGGAGAGCAATATTTTGCTTGTGTCCTCTTACCCTTTGCAATAATTCCGATCCTTGCCTTTTTTAGACCAGTCTCGATTCATCTGGAATCACAATTTTTACACCGAAGGGCGTACTTGCTTTGATAGTATGTGCTGACCAATTGAAAATAATGGTGGATAGTGCTCCACGACTAGCATATATTTAACAACTTGGTTTAAAAATTAGTTCTTCAAAACAGCTTAATTACCTATATATTTATCTCAATACTATGCAAAAAGAAACGCTTATGTAAAGATTTTCCTTGTTGATGAATGATGAAAAACTAGTTTTTCAGGGTGGTAATTTTTTTCTTTCTAATCATTGAGGTAAAGTTATATTTCATGAAAAAGAAATTATCGTCCGTACAAATAGTTTTCGCTGTTGGTGTTAGGATTTAGCCATGGGAGGCAATTGCACAAAAGTCCCTGTCTTGAAACGACTCTACAATCCACATTCATTGAGATTGATAAATGAAAATCTCTAAACGAAAATTGAAATATATGTCCCCGTCAAACCAATATTATATTATTAACAGACTAGATTTTTATGATTTGATGGATTTGAATCAACCTAGCTTTTCATATCCTTAAGCAGGTGATATCTTATCTCACTTTTATTGGGTGCTTTGTTCACACTCTCCGACCAAGTAACACCACCAAAACAGAGTCCTCTGTTTCTCTGATGCTCTCCAAAATTCTTTTTGCCTGCCTTTCGGCTCAAATGCTTTGCTTTTTGGAAGCCGCAAGCAACTCATTCGCATCAATTCAGTTAAATTTCTGAGTTTTCAAGCTGCAATAAATTTCCAATTTGATTAGATGGGATTGGAAATGAAGTTATAGTCAATGAAAATAACAGTCCCATAATTCGAAATGTTCGAGCATCATAATTTGGATAGAGAAGTTCAGGATAACTTTTCTTTTAGGGCTAGAAGAAAATTTGGCAACTGACGTGGGAATAGAATAAATTCGCAAGCAAATTCGACTTGATGAATGATAATCACAAAGGGAGATCTACTTTAGAGAAAAATTCGAGGCAATGCATCAATCGCTCATTGCTCTTTCAAGTTTTATTCTGACACGACCTTATACTTAACCAACAAATCCTTTAGAACATAGAAAGACACTAGAAAGGCCATTTCTCACACAAAAGCTCCAAGCTAGAGCCAGAAAGAAGCATACAGAACAAATCACCTCAATTTCCAATAATTATCACTCCAAAGGATTTTGAAAAGACAATTTAAGCACAAACACCGGGATTGGCCAAGAGGTACTCTTCAACTGTCTTGAACAATCCCATAGCCCTGTCTTTGCCCTGCTTGATGTCATCTTCCTTGAGATCTCCACCTTCCTTAACATGATAGTCGCTAGTCATCTTGCAGACGCATCCATCATCAGCTGGTGTGAACTTCACGTCATAGACAATGAAGTCAATTTTGTCGAACTTGATATCACTTTCGATCAAAGTATATTTGCAGTAAAAGTTATCGACATCAAGAGCATCAATCTTGTGCTTTGTGTATTTGATGTGAGCACCTGTTACATGAATTCAAAGTGAAAAGATTAATTCTTAGCTCTGCAGTTTATCAATGAACTTAACATGGTAGATAAACATCTATTATCCGACTTACTTTCGCCAAAGTTGGTCTGCTTAATACTGCCAACTCCACCATCTCCCTCAATGAACTCGACACTCTTAATGCCCCCGGGGACAATCTTGGGAATGACGTTGTGCGAGTCTAGGACCAAAGCCTTGAACATCCTTGATGGAGCGACGGCAGATGTGAACTCTTGAGAGTAAGTGATGACACCCATGTCTGCCTGGTAAGAAGCAAAGAGAAATGAACTCAAGTAGGAAATGGAAGAGTTTGGTGTGATTGCTGTTGAAGAAGGCTTGAGCTGATGAAATGATGAAGAGAACCAGTTGGTATTTATAGGCTAGTTAGGTGTTTAGCAGTCCATAAGCATTCAAAATTCAAAGCACTCCGAACTGGACCAATCAGCCTTGCTTTTTAAGCCTTTCTAGCTTTTTCATGGGGCAGAGCCACCAGGAATCTAGAAGTTCACGGAAAAGGACAAGTTCATTATAGATCAAACATAAAGGACTATAATTCTTTGTCCCTGTCGGGTTCACCAATTTGGCGGGCGGACTACAATTTAAAATGGCGATATTAATAGAGATATAAACTTCACATGTAGATTGAATCTCATAGATTATTTAGCATGCCCACAATGAATTCTTCTATATATTAGTTACTCAATTATATAGATGTTCGAACTCATCATTTAAGATTCTCCAAACATTTAATCATGTTGTCTACTGTATGCTCAATTATGTAGATGTTCGAACTATTCACATAATTGGATTTATCGACATAAAAGTTAGGCGGCTATGATATTATTTTCCAGTATTGCATTAAAAGAAGTTTTCGTGTTAATATGCACTGAGGTACAACTAGAATTCTAAAACTATTAAAATTAACTTTCATTTAATATAAATCTTGCGGTGAACACAATTTGACTTTTATTTATCTAAAACACCAACAACAGTCACAACATATAAATTTGGAAAAGTGGCAGCAACAGTAGTAAACATTTGTCCAAATATATAATGAAGTTCTAAACACTTGAATTTGTGCAATCAAATCATAAATGTCTTTTATTGGGAGCAATTTGATCTTTTTTGCAAGGTGGCAGTCAAATTTGATGATATGACATGCCGGAATCCGACGCGGCATTTTTAAATATTATTTCGCATAGTTGGCATTGAAGTGGCACCACATTAATAAATATATCAAAGATTACAAAACAATGTGAAAGAAAAGTTTGAAGAAAGCAAAAAAATAAAAAAAATAAGAAAAATAAACAACTAAGCTTTCAAGTAAAAAACATTAAAATAATGGCAGGTAGAGTGAGGAAACAAACCCAATTCAATTTACAATTAAATTACATAAAAATTAAAATTTATGGATTTTTTTTTATTGAAGTGACTAGTTTGGATTGAACTATCATTGACTTTTGAATTTCTAAATCACCATTTCTGTGGACTTTCTCTTGAGTGTGGCTACAATCACGGGTATTGTTGGGAGCGCCCAATAGAAATTAGATACATTCATTAAGGGAGATCGCCAAGAGAAAGCTCAAGTCCGAATCCATCAACATATCCAATTGGACTCGGTTCCATTTCTTGAGTTATATGCCAATTTTATATATTAACTGCTCCACACCATAACAATTCTATAATATATGCCTTTTCTAACACTACTCGCATGCGCATCTCAATAATCTCCCACTCATGTGCAAGCTTAGTATTAAGGTCCATCCCTCCTTAATTCATATATCCTTCTGCAGCAACATGTCCCAATTCATATCTCCAACACCCACCTTCATTCCAATAGATCAAATCCTGAAGGTTATAATCGGGACCGAGTTATTACACTACAACACCCACCTCCACTATAGGTCTCTTCCATTAGACTGCACCATGAAGGCTGCCCAAAACTACATTGGTCATATTTCTTTCTTGAAATATTCACTGAACACCAAAACACATTGCGAGTGCCACCAATCAACCATTTGATTTGATACCATTTATTGGGAGCACAGAAAAGAAACTCAATACCTTAATTTAGGGAGATCACCAAGAAGGAATTCAAGTTTGAGCCCATCAACATATTTAGTTGGACCACACTAATAACCTGATTTGGGACTTTGAAGAGGCACAATAGCATCATTAACACACTCAACCTATTAAGAAATGTATTTTTGGCTTCTATTCTAATTAACCCCGGGACTTATATGCACTAGGATGGTTGGCCCACAATGGGCATCTAAACCAAGATGCCATAACCAACCATAGTCACGTCGGCCTTACATATATCAATTATTTGTCTCCTCACTAGAGACTTCTTGATAATCATAAGTGGAAAATTTAGGATATTTGAAGCAACTCTCGTATAAGTGGAGCAATATTAAACCTTGATTACGACAAAGGGGTGATCATCTTTCAGGGGAAAATCCAAGCAAGCGCAATCTAATTTAATGGATCGCTGAATTGTCTTCCAAGTTTTATTGTGAAATGACCTTACACACAAACAGCAGACCCTTCGGAAACATAAAAGTACACAAAAAACATTCCTCACAAAAGCTCCATTGGAGCAACAAAAAAAAAAGAAAGAAAAATGCAATACCATTTTCCACCACTTATGTCACGCCCCGAACCCTAACGGGCTCGCGACACTCCTTCGATGGCTGTATTGAACGCGATGTCCCAGGACGCGTCGCCGACCCAAACGAAACACTCAAATTAAATCACGAGCGGAAGCAAATTTAAATCAACCCAAACAATAACCAATGACGACGGGATAGCACTTGCATGAATCAAACAGTTGCTTATAACATCCATAAACATAGCATTAAATCACGTTCATCAAAAGGGGCAGTGGTTGGGTAGCCTACTTCACTATACAAAAAGGGGACATCCACAAAAGGGATAAAGCATTAATATTCAACACCACTCCCGGTCTCCGACTCGCACGTGACGACTGTTCGTCACTCCAAACCTGATAATATTTAACAACG